AAATTGTGTTTTTATTATAAAATTAAATTATTCCAACATTTTGATTAGATTCCAATTAAACATAAGATATGATTCATTGATATTAAATCAACCTTTGATCTAAAATCAGATTGACCTTTTTATTTTCAAACCTGGTATTTTCAAAAACTTAAACTTGGTTGGTCACTAGAGTTTGACTAGAACTGTCTCATCATACTGGTTTCATTTTAAGTTAGATCCAAACAGTTCTTTACTTGTAGATTGAGTAAAACTAATTTGGAGCTCTATACATTATTTTAGGCAAAAATGATTTTAATGTTGCATACCATTATTTTGCAATTAAAAAAAAAATTTATTAACCAAATAATTACCATCAGCATAGTATCTTTTTTTTTAATTTTTTTGTCTGGGAATAATGACATCAGCCACAATAATGCAATCAACACACTGGTCATTAGTATGTATATATAAAACATTAATATGTGTCATTAACCTATATAAAACTAATGAAATACATCAACATTATAAGCAGTAACAAGTTGTCCTTTATGTGGATATTAAAAAAAAAATTAACAATAAATAGTTAAAAATATTACTCCAACAACCTCATAGATTTTATCTGAGATTTTTATTGTATGTTATGTATGTTTTTTTATAACAATTGCGTTTCATGTGTTATTACTTATCAACTGTCATATATTAATCAATGATTTTCTGTAATTAATTTTCCAGAATATTACTCAATATTTGCATCATATAAAGTGCTTCGTCAAAATAGAACATCTGTTGTGTTATCACTAGAGCTTTTAGAAGATGAGAGATACCCTATTAGTAAGATTTATATCCAATGGACCCAAAAAGATGGCTCAAATACAAACCAGTCTTGGTCTAATACAGCAAACTTTATTCTTATTAGTCCTCTGAAAATCTTTACTGAGTACTATGTTTGCTTTTCTTTTGAAACTATTAGAAGAAAGTTGAGTTCATGCATGCAACAAAAAAACACATTTTGGACAGCTGAAGGAGGTTTGATTAATTTTTATTTTTAATATACATATATTCATATATAAATATATATATATATATATATATATATATATATATATAAAAATATATATATATATATATATATTTATATATATATATATATATATATATATATATATATATATATATATATATATATATATATATATATATATATATATATTCTACAAATGAGTGCTCAATATTCTTAAAGATCTGAGCAATTATCATTTGTAAAAACACTTATCTAATTTTTGTCTTCAACAAGTTGTTTCACTGTCAGTAGGTTCATCAGGAAGCTTCATGATAATTCTACTGATGGTAAAACAACTTGTTGAGGACAAAAATTCGATAAGTGTTTTTACAAATTTATATATATATATATATATATATATATATATATATATATATATATATATATATATATATATATATATATATATATATATATATATATATATATATATATATGTTTAAACAATTTTAAAAAATGTATTCTACAAAATAGAGTGCTCAATGTTCTTAAAAGAACAGAGCAATTATTAATTAGTAGAAAATCACTTTACAATTTTTTTTTTTCTTTTTGCAATGTGTTTCATCAGTAAAGACTCATCAGAAATGATGAAACAGTGTAAAATGAAAAAAAAAATTTAAATGGTTTTCTACTTATATATTTATATTAGTAGAAAATCACTTAAAATATATATATATATATATATATATATATATATATATATATATATATATATATATATATATATATATATATATATATATATATATATATTTATATATATCCAACCTGTGAAATTAACAATTACAGCAACACCTTCAACTTTTTGTAGCAAAACTGAAACTGAATCCCAAATATTGACAAATAGTGAGAGTTTTAGCAAATATGAAACATGAACTATCTTATGAGAAAAAAATATTTGAAGTATAATGACATGATCTTGTGTGTGTATTATCAAACCAAAATTTTGTTTACAGAAATAGATCTTTTTTTTAGAGCCTGTTCAGTACCCATCCTTAAGCTGTGCAGCTAATCAAGTAAAGAAAACAATGGATTGTGATGTTACAAAAATAAGCATTAGTTCATGGCATGGAATTCCATACAGCTACAACATAATGTATAGAGTTAAAACACCAGAAGATTCTTGTAATAGTTTAGAAAGGTTTGAATTATTTTTATTATTTTTTTATTAGTTAAAAATATTTACAGAAACTTGAGTGTTTCGATAAAACTTGCAAAATTAAAAGAGTTAGGTAAGGTATATATAATAAAGGATATGATATATTTAATGTGATTGCATCATTTAGTTAATAATATCTATCTTTTATTAAATCCAGTTGAAATCATTTTCTTAAAGAACAATATTTTGAAATTGAATTGAATTATTAAATAATAATTAGAACTATTAAAATATTTTTGAGTTCGTTGAAACTTTGAGTTCTTAATAATATTTTTCAAATAGTCTCATTAAAAAACTCATACTTAACATTAAAGAAGTAATATTTAATACGAATGAAGTCATGATATATCAACGTTGTTTTATTGTAGTATCTAGTAATTAATTTTTTCAAAAATTCAACTGACATTTAATATGATATAAATCCCTTAAGCTGACAGACTAATTTAAGTACCAAATTAGTTTCCATGTCTTCATCATATATTTCAACTATTTCATATATTTTTTAAATCTAAAATAGTTGATATGATCAAACAGTAGACTTTCCAAAAATTGTTATTTAGGTTTTTGTTTTGTTTTGTTTTTTTGAAAATAACAATATAAAAACTTTAACCAAACACTCATAAATCATATAACATTAATTTTTTTTTTATCATTACATGTAAATAATAGCCTATGTGGACTCAAATGTTGGTTTGAATCCACACAGACTATTATTCTGTGTGGACTATATTATATCAGAATCATGGCAGTGTAATGTATTACACTGACATGATTCTGATATGGAACTATTTAGTAAACTCTAATAAAATGACTAAAAAAATTATTTCAAGTTTAATGTATAAAATGGTGACTATGGCATTACTTGTCAATAAAAATATCAATGAGTGTGAATTTTTAGAAACATATATGATATATCTGTGATATATTACCTGTTAAACATTTTTTTAAATTTTATTTACTCAAGACGATAACAAAACCTTACTGAAATTTGACTCTGTTACTCAAGTTTACTGTGAAACTGATATGAATAAAATATTCAGCTTAAAAGAAATTATTTAACAATTAAAATCATTGGATAAACACAAAGCCTGTGGGGACAATGGAGTCCATCCTTATGTATTGTGTACCTGCTCCGAAAGTTTAAACATTCCTATTGAACATATTATTAAGTTATTCTTAGAATCAGAAGTACCAAATGCTTGTAAAGATTCAAGCATAATTACAATTTTTAAAAATTGCAATATGCTTGATCCTTCCAACTTTAGACCTGTCTCCCTCTCATCCATTATCTATAAAATTTTAGAAAGGAAAAAAAAAATTCATCATTTGACATCTTTTAGAAAATAATTTGATAAATAAGAATCAACATTGTTTTTTACCAGATAAATCTTACACTACAAGTTTACTTGAAAGCCAAGATATTTTAATAATTTCTGTCAGCTTAACATCTTCCTTTAAAAACTTTTGTTGAGTAACAGGACCAGCTGTAAGTGTCCATGAATATATCCACAATCAAAGGTACATTTCTGAGAACAGTAGACACTTAATTAAAAGAAACTGTTTTACAACTGCACCATTCCAATTTGAAATAATTTGTTGTTTGATTTCAAAACTAATCAAATATGTTAAACTTTAAAAAAAAACTTGATGATCTTTGTTATGTGACTTGATATTTTAAGTTGTATTTATTGAACTTTCTGATAAAGCGATTTACTACTCAGTGAGCGTATGCTCCCCAGTGGTTACCGCAGCCAATAAGTAAAAAAAAAAAAAATGCGTAACTAACATTTCTAATGTTGATTTTAAGTTTCTGACCTGTTTTGTTTTGCAGCAAGATTCAATGACAGTTAAAGCAACTTGAGAAAAAGCTGTAACTCCTTTAAAACAACTCCACTCTAACATCGACACTTCTGAACAGTTAAATACAGCATCAACACTTCTGAACAGTTAAATACAGCATTTGCACTCTAACATCAACACTTCTGAACAGTTAAATACAGCATTTGCACTCCATATACTTTAGTTAATTATATACTCATATTAAGTATTGTTTTGAAGACAAATTACTAAACATGATGCATTAAAAAGGAATTTATTTAAAATACATTTTATAGAAAAAATGACTTTTGACCACAAAAGAATTTTTTTGTGTTTTAAATAAAAAATTTTAAATAAAAAGCTCAAGTATTGAGAGAGTTTGTATTGTTAAATATTACTATTATAATTCAAGATAAAATAATGCGTCATCTACTACAAAATATTCTAAAAAATAAAAATTAACATGGTTTTGTACCTTTTAGATCATTACATCACCAACTTACTTGAAACAATCGAAATAACAAACCATCTAAACAAATAAAATAACAAACCATCTAAACAATTGAAATAACCAAACAATAAGACAGTAGGTGTTGTCTAATTTGACTTAAAAGCCTTTTATAAGGTTTTATCCTTGCTATTAATTCACAAGATAAAAAAGTAATGGCTTTTTAAAAAAATTGGTTAAATGGCTTGAGAGTTTCTTGTCTAATAGAAGATAAAAAGTGGTTTTGGGTCAGCATAGAAGCATTGTCATGGTGGAGATTTTAAGCGGTGTCCCTCAAGATTTCGTTTTGGGACCTATTCTATTTGTTATATATATTAATGACTTAAAAGACACTGAAATTTTCATCAAAACTATATGGTGATGATAATAATGTTGCTTCTATAAACAACAAATCAAAAAGATCAAAGCTTCAAGATAATGTTATATCTATGCAACAATGGGCAGATCTATGGTGTGTGTGTTTCAATAAAAAAAAAATCAAAAGTTGTACACTTTAGAATAAAAATTAAAAAAGTTCAAATATTTCATGATAAATGGCTGATAATTAAGAACAATGTACTACAAGAAACTGAAATAGAAAGAGATCTGGGTATTATTATTATTATAAATAAGCTAAAGACCCACAATCAAGTCATAAAAACAGCAAACAATGCAAATCGAATTTTGGAGATGGTTAATGGGGCCTTTAGAAATTTGGATGTCTGCACCATGAAAAGAGCAACTAAAATGGTTTTATCTTTAAAAATAAATGAAATATGAAAATAGACAAAGTATTTAGCCTGAAATCATAAGAAAAATGAACTCACAAAGACCTAATACAAATGTATAGAATAGTATATGTTTGCAACCAAATTTTATTACAAAAGCCAATAATTTTGATAGCTAAGGGAATATTAGACAGAAAAAAAAAGCAAAATCACAACTTTAGAATATACTTCAAGAAGTAACATAAGACATAAGTTTAGTATAAATTGAGTTAGTAATAATTTGAATAATTTGGATTATGAAACTGTTAATGTTAAAATTCTTTTAAAAACAATATTGATAAAAGATTAAAGTAAACTTTAACTGTTGTAAAGTAATCTCTCATGTGATTACTTTCCCTGTAATTTTTTACACTACGGTTTTTAATTCAATAGTTTAATAATAATAATAAAAATTATTATATATCTATAAACTATAGTAAAACTGTAAAATTTTGATATAAAATAATCACTGTTTAAACATTGGCTGATCAAAGTTTTTTGATTCTAAAAATATTTATTTTTGGTGGTATTGTGTACTGTAATCTGAATGCTTATTCGCAATCTGAATAGTGGTATCTGAATAGCATTAAGATAGAGGTACACTGTCATAATACCACCAAAAAAAAATATTTTTACTCAATACAGTACTTAGCTGTATCATGTTGGCAAAATTATAGCATATCACAATGTACTTACCAATGTAAGCATGTTTACTTGGCATAAAAATGCCAATTAAATAACAAACAGTTATTTTGCTTTCAACCAACAGTGGGAACCCAATAAAAGCATAACAAACCTTCATTAGTTTGCCAGTGTTGACGAATTCCATTAAGCATCACAGTGTAACGGCATAGCATTCAAGCATCCGCTTTATCTATAATGGTCTTCTGAAAGCATGTTTTCTGGAGAATTAATACTTTTTATTAATGATTTTAAAGTTAAAATTAAATAAGTAATAGTTATTTAATTTAAGAAAGTTATAGTTAACATTGTAAAAATATGACTTTAAGCACTTGCAACTCTATCCTAAAGATTCCCAACATCCCAAAGATTTACAACATCCCAAATATTCACAACATCCCAAAGATTCCCACTATCCCAAAGATTCCCAACATCTCAAAAATTTCCAACATCCCAAAAATTCCCAACACCATAAAGATTTACAATATCTTAAAGATTCCCAACAGCCCAAAGATTCACAACATCCCAAAGATTCACAACATCCTAAAGATTCACAACATCCCAAAGATTCCCACTATCCCAAAGATTCCCAACATCCCAAAGATTCCCAACATCCCAAAGATTCACAGCATCCCAAAGATTCCCACTATCCCAAAGATTCCCAACATCTCAAAGATTCACAACATCCCAAAGACTCCCAACATCCCAAAGATTTACAGCTCTAAAATGTTTAACTCAACTTCAAGAATAATGCACATTTTGTTTATAAACTTTAAATTATTTAGCAAACAATTTAGTAGCTAAAATAATAAAAAAAAATAGAGTAGCAGGAGAAGGAAAAAAGCAAAATAAAATAAACAATAAAATAAACCTGTATAATTATTTTACTTATTTTATTTGTTTAATAATCTAAAGTAAAATAAATTTTTCATCTGTTTTAAATCAAAACTGAAATTGTTGTTTAATTTTTGTAAACATATTCATAAAGTATTAACTTTGTATTGAAAATATAGTTTTTGTGCTTTTCTTTTCTAGCCAGTTCAACCAAAGCCAGTATAACTTTTCTATAAGTTATAGTGCTACATTAAATAACCCTGGAAATATTCGTGTCAGTTTCAACACTTCTGAGTATCATTTTTTACAACTGTGTGTTATTGCTTATGCTACAACTCAAGGTGGAAATGGAATTGGTGTTGCAAATTATCAAGTTGTTAGAACTCAGAGCACTGGTAACTGATTGCTAAATTATAATAAAACTGTATTTTATTCCTGTTATTTTCTGTTCTAGAAATATAATAAAATTAATTTTTTTTTTTTATATATATATGTATATATATTTTTACTATTATTTTGTGTTTAAACTAATTAAACATCTAGTTTAACAATCTTCAAGTAATCTCAAGTAATAATCTTCAAGTAATCTGAATATGTAAATTGTTCAAATAATCCGAAAAGTTTAAGTTTATTTAAATTAATAATTTTAATAGTTTAACTAATTAATTTAAATAATTAAATTAAAAAAAATAAATTTAAATAAAGTAATATTAGTAATTGTTAGTAATTAGATAAAGTGTTAATACAACTCTTACTTAATTATGACAAAATTTGATAAACAATTTGTTTTTATATTTAACTGATTATTTATATAGAATTTATTTGTTTTTTACAGCACCTGATAATGCACCAGATGGCTTAAAAGCAACATTTAACAATTCTGTAATAACATTTGAGTGGTATCCTCTTGAAAGTTCTGTTGATGTATGGAATGATTATACAGTTCCTGGCACTTATTACCTAACCTATGGTATATTAAAAAGTTCAATTCCAATTGCACTAGATTCACCTAGTACTGTTGTTGTCAGTGGTAATAAATATGTTTTGAAAAATGGAAGTCTTTGTCATGTTAATATTGCTTTTATAAATGCATTTTCTGTCGCCATGGGACCTGCAAGTTTTAAAATATGTTTTCTTAGTTCCCTTACAAGTAAGTATTTTATTATACAAAAATTTATGAGATATTTGTAATTATTATGGTAGTTATTTAATCTAATCGCAAGCTATAATGAGATTTTTTAAAATATCATTGATTGTTTTTTTGACTGCCATTTATTGTCATTATTATCTATATTTGAGTGCTCATTAACATAAAAATGATTGTCATAACCAAATTTTTTTAGTTTTTACAAAAGTTTTTACACTTTTTACAAATGTTTGCAAAATCAATGTTTTAAAAAATAAAACAAATTTAACAAAATATTTTAGAAAGACTAAAGTTTATAATAAGATATAATTACATAATAATTATTATGTAATTTAACTAAACATGTTTATGGTAAAATAATTTTATTTAAAAAGAACTGTTTTGTATAGCTTGAAATAAATTGCAAAAAGTTGTTGATTCAATATTTTATTACAGATGTATTTCAAATAGTTCTTAACTATTTTGCTTGGAATTAAATAAAGCAACTTTCATTATTATTTATTATTCAATTAGTTATTATCTGTGTGATTTTCTATTTTTCTTTGTTATTACAATTAGAAGCTAGGATATAAAGGAATTATATTATATTATAATTATCTTAAAGAATAATTATAACTAAAATATTTAATCATATTTTAGGCTACCTAGATGTTTAAATATGCATATTTTTATCATTTTATATTTTTTTGTGTAGTAATGTCACAATAGTTTGAAAAATATACAACAATTTTCTTAATACAATACTTTAGCTGAAGAAATATTTAGTGACTGCTATTTCTTATTGAAAATATATATTCTCAAAAAAAATTTATTTTCATAAAAATAACTACATGAGTTTTACAAATTTGCAACTACCATGCATGATCATACATGAACTGTACTTAAACAATTGCTGTGACTCTGTGATACATAGTCCTGTAACTTTATGGAAATCTTTATTAATATATAAAATATTATTTGAAAAAAAAAGTATACTGCTAAAACTCTTTAATTCTGTCTGTGATTCTTCTGTCTGTGATTTTTCTGTCTATGATTCTTCTGTCTGTGATTCTTCTGTCTGTGATTCTTCTGTCTGGGATTCTTCTGTCTGGGATTCTTCTGTCTGGGATTCTTCTGTCTGGGATTCTTCTGTCTGGGATTCTTCTGTCTGGGATTCTTCTGTCTGGGATTCTTCTGTCTGTGATCCAAACTTAATTTATTCTTTGATAACATTACCATTTTTTGTTTACAAAATATTTATATAGATTAGAATTAAATGAGAGTAAATTGGAGCCAGTTTTAATAGCATGAAAATAATAGACAAAACATATACAAGTTTCCATGCGTGATTTTCTAGAAATGCTAAGGTATTTAACACTATTTTTAATGGTCATTTTTTTTTTTTAGATTTTTAGGAAAAAATGTATTTTATAATAATATACAATTGTTTTTCTTTTTTCAATGTTTCAATATTGAAAAAGAAAAATAGTTTGCTCACTTTAAAACTACCTTTCAGTTTAATGTGAATTATAACTTTGAAAAATAACAAGATATCCTAATAATAGTAGTAATTGAAAAATAAAATGTAACCATAGTAACCATAACCATAGTAGAAAAAGTACTTTTTCAGGATTTTCTGGTATTTCAGGATTTCACTTTTAAATGTTTTAAGTTTCTTGAAAATTTTTGGATGATTTGAAATAAAAGTTTATAAAATTTTAAAAACTACAATATTTGCATATAAGCTAATTGTTACTAAAATAGATGTAAAATAAAATTAATATAAATAAATAGATATGCAAAAATAAGTTATTATATATAAATAGATAAAATGCAAGAATAAAGTTAGCACTTCATGCAGGGATCCCAGACTACTTTTTTGGAAACATAATCCCTGTAACTTTTTTACAACTCTGGTATTTCATACTTATAACATTTATATCCTGGTTTATACCCTGGTAATTTAAGAATAGAATTTTTTTTGTCTCTTTTTTTTTTAATTATTTTCATTTGAGTACAAAATTAAAAATGCATGTAAAAGAGTTGTGTAAAGTATTAAATTAAAAATACTATTAAAAACTTATGAAAAAAAAATTTAATTATTTTTTATTATAAAATATTCAGTTGTATAATTAAAATTTTAAAACATTTTTTAATGTTTATAGAACCAGACTGTGTAAATCCTGTTATTAAAGAATATTATGTTGTTGATCCAAGAACAGCTGTGTTTCTTCCTGAGATTTTTGATCCTACATATTTTAGAGGAATCAACAAGTCATGGTTGTTTAATGTACAAGTAAAAGAAGGGTATAATCCTGGACAAATAGCAGCAAAATATTTATATAGTCCATATTATTTTGATTTACCAATTGAAAAATATGCTGAAAGATCTATGCTATGTATTGATGAAGATTTATCACAATTTCTTAATCAAAACAATAATTATAACATAACTTTGATGGGATTACATCCTAATACAAGTTATCAAGTTTCAATTCAACCCTGCAATGAATATGGTTGTGGTAAAATTTCAAATCCAGTGTTTTTTAATACATACTCTGACATACCAAGTTGTTCACCTGAATTTCTTCACTTACAAAATGAATCTTCTACATCTATGATTGTATCTTGGAATGAGCTAGATATCAGTTGTGCAAACGGAAATATAGAAAACTATATTCTTAAATGCCATGGAAATCAATCAGGCCTCTTGGGTAATATTAGTACAGATCTTTCAGTAGAGTTGATCAATTTGCATAAGTATGAGTTTATTTGCTGTAGGATTGCTGTACGTAACATCAATGGAACTGGGCCTTTTAGTTCCGAAATATGTGCTTTCACTGATGAAGATGGTATTTTATTTAATTTGCTTTTTATATTTATTATTTGTTTTTGAAACTATTATTTTATATATATTTTTACTGTTTTTAGTGCCCAATGATGCTCCAATATCAAGCAAAATTAAAACTACATTCTCTTCTGGGTGTATTTCAATTCTAGCCCCTAAAATAGTTGATATGAATGGTATTGTTCTAGGCATTCAAGCAAATATAACCAATCTTACAATTGCCAATTCAGAAACAAGTTTGCAACAGCAATCATATTCTAAAGATTATGAATTTATCTTTAAAGCTGACCATTTATATAAGGGTTTTGTGAATATTTGTTTTGATCAATTGCTACCATTTTTTGTTTATAGTGTTGAGTTAAGATACTTTAACTCAATTGGTTATAGTCCATCAAGTACCTATCAGTTTGTAACAGAGGAATACTGTGAGTATTTCATGGTTTTTGTTTGTTTTTAGTATAATTTTTTTTAAATTATAGTTTCAGTTTAAAGTTTCAAAAGTTTTGTAACAAAATTAAATTTTCAAGTTTTGTCGAAATATAACAATGTTATATTTCGACAAAACTTGAAAATTTAGTTAAGTGATTTATTTTAGTTTAATTTAGTAATTTATTTAAAATTTAGTTTATTTAAATTTAATTTAATAATCATTGTGATTATTGTTATATATATACTCCAAAACTTGTAAATGTTAAACATATAAGTTTTGTAGTATACATATATATAACAATAATCACAATGATTTGTGAAAATAGCTGATTTGCTGAATTAAGTTATATCCTATCTTGAATATGTAATTGTGGTATTAATTATTTCTTAGTTTACTTAGCATATAAATAAATTTACATTATGGTATTAGTAAATTATATTGATAAAAGTTAAGAACACAAGGTATCAAAAATAAACAAGATATCAATTACTATTAAACTGTTTATAATAAAATAAAAAATGTTAGCCTTAAAACAAACATAATTTTAAATTAAAATGCTGAAAATTGTAAAAATTAATAAACTTAATTTTACTTGTTGTTATTTATACTTTTAATTGTTTTTATTACTTTCAATTTTAGTTCCTGAGGCACCAAGTTTAATATCATTTTCAAGTGATAATGTACAAATTATTACAGTTAATTGGAGTAGTGTTCCTATAGAAAAAAGTAATGGAATTATATCTCGATACCTAATTTGCCGCAAACAAGTATTAGACAAAAATATTTTGGGAGAAGAAGTTTGCTTCAATTACACAAATCTTTTATTTCTCAATTTTAACTTAACTAATCTTAATCGTGGAAGCACTCACAATGTTAGTGTTGCTGCATGCAATAAAGCAGGATGTGGAAAAAAAATTTATATTCTTGCAAGTGCTATGGGGTTTAGTATGTGTTTATATTTCTGCTAAATAACATTTCAAATATATTAAAAAGCATTTTTATTTTAAAGGGTAATGTTTTAACTTTTTATTAATTTTATTTTAAGCTGATGGTCATTGGCTAGATTGGTCAAACTGGGGTGCTTGTAGTCAGACTTGTGATCAAGGTCAGAAGATGAGAACACGTGTTTGTACTCCTCATAGTGTGGGAGGTTATGATTGCTTTGGAACTAACACAAGCTTTGAAATTTGTCAAGTGACAAAATGTTCTGGTAAAATTCTATTTAAAAATTTTTTTTTTATCTTTTGCTGCTTACATTTTCTATGAAAGGTTTTTTTTTTTTTTCAAAAGCTCAAAAAAAGTGATTATTTTTAATATTTATACTAAGGTTTTGTTTTGGGAAGAGAAGGTGAAACAAATTGTTCAGTTGTATGTGCAAAAGACAATTACCTATGTTCACCTTTTTATTTAAAACCGTATAATGATACATCAATTTTTTTGAATGCCATTACTCCAATTAAATGTCGAGCAAGTTTGGATTACAGAGTCTACAGTTCTGATTTAGATCCTAGTTTGGATAATAGTACAGGTGTTTGCCATGGTTACATTAACATTCCAGATGAAGTTCCTTGTGAGAGTAAAAACACTTTTAATCAACCAAAAATGCACAGATTGTGTAACTGTATCAGTCCAAGTAATATTTACTTAATTTTTTATGTTATTGTTGAAGAAATATTTATGTTTGTTGTAGAATTATTATTATTATTTATTTATTTTTTGTACATATTTATTATTATTAAATATAATAAATACTTTGTTAAATTTTTAGTTCATATATTGAATTGTGTTAATAGTTTTATAAACTGATAAACAAAAACTTTAATAGATGATTATGGATTTGCTTTATGGGCTCGTTGGAGTTTTTGTTCTGAGACATGTGGAAACACAAGCATACAAGTTAGAAAGAGAAATTGTTTAGGAGTTTGTTCTGGAAACTCTGTAGAAGTTAAACTGTGTGATGTTCCTGTTTGTCCAGGTAAAACAGTTTGACAAAACTAGAACTTTGTTTAATTGACTTTAAAAATATTTCTTTACTTCACTTATCGCCTCAATAAACACATATTCTTGAGTATTTTGCATGGGTTTTAGAAACCCAGTAAACCATTAAAGACAATTTATTATTTTGTCATTAGTTGATGGGGAATGGGGAAGTTGGGGAAATTATTCAGCATGTAACTCCACTTGTGGGTATGGCTATCAAATTCGTACTAGAGAATGTAACAATCCTTCTACAATTGGAAGTGGTACACCATGTCAAGGAATTCAGAAAGATGAAAAACCAGAGTGCAATGCTTTTCCTTGCCCAGGTATGATTCATTTAATATATATATATATATATATATATATATATATATATATATATATATATATATATATATATATAATATATATATATATATATAATAATAATAATAATATATTATAATATATATTATTTTGTTTTTATTTGAAATGTTAATCTTTTATGTTTATATTGAATAAAAAAATTGTTTTATGATTTTTTTTTTTTCCATTATTTTTAAAGCTTATCAGAATCTCGATAATAAAAAAATATTGGATTTAATATGAGAGTTTAGATGATTCCCAGCAAACATTGTTTTAGTGGATTTGCAGTGAACCTATAGAGGCATTTTTTAGCAGTTCATTGAAGTTTTGCTGATCGGTTACTTAGTTGACCATTAGTAGCAGCCACTATAAATGGAAAGCTGATAATTTTCCGTAATGTTAAAAGTGATTAGTCATCGGCTAGCCACTGTTGGCGGCTGCCACTGATGGTCCACTAAGTAACCAATGAGCAAAACTACAGCGGTCTACTTAAAATGCCTATATAGGTTCACTAAAATTCTGATATAGAATGTTTTCTAGGTTGATATTTTTCATTAAATTGTCTTATTTTTTAAATATAAGCATTTTTTTTATTATTTGCTTCAATTACAATTATAATATTAATTATATATTAAATGAAAATTATTTTTATCTTTATTAATCTGTTAGACATACATTATTAAATACATCACTATATTCTTGTTCTTACTTGGTTAAAAGCATTTCAATAATTAAAGTAAAAATAGTTATTATTATTTATATTTTAAAATTTGGTTTTTATCTCTTCATTTTTTGTATTTATAGTTAAAGTTATTCAAATCATAATAAACATGTTTACTCCATCGTTAAAACTTAACTCATTCAGATAATTAAGCTACAAGCTGTTTCCAACAACAAAGTTGGCTTTGTAGAGAAAAAATTTCACTAATGTGTAGATATTTTTTTTCTTATATCTTGATAAGTTCTTTTTTTTTTAGTTTAATTTAAATTACATAAACATATTTAAAACTTTATAAATTGAACACAACTTATCAAACTGCCAAGTGGTTTGAAATTTCAAAACACTTGGTAGTACAAACTTTTTGTAAGACAAAATTAATAACAAATTTATTTATTTATTTATTTTGTATTTATGTGCCACGATAACATACATGTTCATTTAACATTTTTTAACATGTTAATTTAAGTCATAATGTGTTCATGTTAATGATTTTTATTAATGTTTTAAATTTTTATTTAAACTGTTTTTAATTTTAACAGTATAAATAGTTGATTTAAAGTAAATAAAAATTTTAGTTGATGGTGGTTACTCAAACTGGACTGATTGGTCAATATGCAGTAGACCTTGTGGAGAAGGAGTAACCATAAGGAGGCGTTACTGCAACAATCCAGTACCTGCAATGAGGGGTAAAGAATGTAATGGCAGTGATTTAATGACAATGCCTTGTTTTTTGCAAAACTGCAAATGTATGTTTAGTAATATAAATATATATTAGTATAATAAATATTATGTTGCTAAATATATTATGTATTAATAATATAAGCATATTTACATAAATATAAATAAAATAAAAATGAAATTTAAATTTGTTTTAATTTAAAGGCTTTTTTTTTAAAGCTATAAGAGTGGATCTGATACAGAGAACATTCGAGACTTGGATGTGGAAAATGTATAACATTAAATCAGAAGAAGCATATGTATTTGTTCAGAGATTTAATCAATCTGTATGAATTTTTATTTGTTGAATTTCTTTCAAATTTACCTTAATCAAAACAACAAAATAACATTAAAGCAATTACTACTCTTTTTGTTATATCATTATTTGTGCTCTTTTGTAGGCTTTTAATGGATATTTAAAAAGATTGATTTTTTATCTCTCATTAATAGATCAGCTATGTCAAAGATTTCTTTTGCTTAAATATGTTTGTTTAATTTGATATAAGTTAAAGTTACAGCTAAAATGTAGATATGAAAAATAAATGTAGATAGGAAAAGTTTTATATACATTATTGAGCGAAATCTTTTCTTCCTCGACATAGATATTTTAACAATAAACTACAATCTTAGTAGCAATCTAGAGTCTGTCAGTGTCGCAAGAAACTTAAAAAGTAACTTAAATTTGTAGGCTGCCACACTCTCAAATCCTAAATGAGAAGTGTTCTTAGTATAGCTTGTGGTAATTATTATTTGCTCTCTGTCTTGATCATTGATTTTAATATGGTCTGCCTTGATATCATACAGCTTGTAGCTGGAAGCTTTAGTTGTATAATCAAAGCCAGTTGCAACAACATCTATATTTTAAGGTAATTGTTGAGATTGAAGTAAGATGGGTTCTCCAAATATATATATATATATATATATATATATATATATATATATATATATATATATATATATATATATATATATATATATATATATATATATATTGACTTATCTATTTTCTTTTTAAAATAGATAAGTCACTTTCTTACTCTGGATTCTATTCTCTATCTCTATAAATCTCTAATCCGGCCTTGTATGGAATACTGTTGCCATATCTGGGGTGGATCTTCTAATGATGCCCTTTCTCTTTTAGACAAGGTGCAAAAATGCATTGTAAACATAGTTGGACCTACTCTTGCAGCCAACCTTCAACCTCTGTCACATCGTCGTAATGTTGCTTCTCTTTCTCTTTTCTACAAATACTATAATGGCCACTGCTCTAAAGAACTAGCGTCTCTTGTGACATCTACTAAAATTCATTCTCGTGTTACTCGTCATTCAATTAAGTCTCATCCTTTTTCTGTTACTGTTCCTAAGTGCTCCAAAAACTCTTATTCGTCTAGTATTTTTCCTCAAACATCAGTTCTTTGGAATTCACTTCCTTCATCTTGCTTTCCTGATTCATATAATTTGCAATCTTTTAAGTTGTCTGTTAATCGTTATCTTGCTTTACAATTTTCATCTTTTCTCTTCCAGTAACTTCCAACACTAATTAGTGGTTGCTTGCAGCCTTGTTGGAAGCGAAGTTTAAAAAAAAAAAAAAAAGTACTAAATAAAACATTCAATAAAATGAAAATGTATATTATTACAAAAATCAAGATTTTTTTGTATCTTTATATAATTTCCATTTCACCTTTGGTTTATATTCTTTATACCTTTGGTTTCATTTCCATTTCACCTTTGGTTTATATTCGATTTTCCTTAAAATTCATTACTTTTATTACAACTTATTTTTTTTACAACTTAGTGGTGCTTTCAGTGATGTATCCAGAAGTTATTTGGGCACACCATTTTGAACTTTTTGGGGTGGTGGGACAGAGAGTGCATCAAATATTTTTAAATGATCTTTTTATAGAGCACATTTTGACAATTTGCATAAATTTGATCCTGTTTTAGCTGCTATTGAGCTGCTTTTTTTTTTTTCTGCTATATAATTTTTGGAAACAGACCTCAATTTTATTTCAAATGTTAGTATACGCAGTTTAACTTATTCTAACCTAAGTGAAGAATGTATACTTATGTGTTTGTTTTGAAAGAAGCAATATATATAGCTTTTAAACCATCTAAAATTATAAAAATATTATTGAATTTTTCAGTATAGATACCAACATAATATAAAGACTTATATATAAGTTAATAACTAATACAGCGAAGTAAACTTTATATTCAATACAGAGATTATTAAGCTCTATTAGTTAATATTTCAAATAAATTTACTCTGAATAAATGATACTATGTATTTATTGAATTTATATGTATTTACCATAGATTCCTTCTAATTATATAGTTGATGAAATGTTTACATCAATAAAGTAATTTTGTATAGCATACACAAACCATATACAAGTTGTTGTACATTTATTAACTGATGATCCCTTTACTTTGTGCTATATTCGTTATCTTTATTCAGAATACAAAATTTAGGAATTCCAAAATAATTTCTTGTAATTAAATACCCAAAAAAAGCACAGTTTGCTCCTTGATTTTATATTTTTTCTTGAATATATATAACTAAACTATAGTAAAATTTAATGGACTCTATAGTAGGTTGAGCAATAGTATAAAGAAGAACTTATGTATTTTTAGAAAATGACCTGCATTTCCAGACTAGTTAAATGCTATGACTATACTTCAAGTAATTAATTTACAATATTAAACCAAATCTGTGGCAATTAGGTCATCAACATTTTTTAATAGTTTTTAATGCTGCAATATTTTTTAATCTGTTTATTACTAGATGCTCATTTAAAGCTAAAACAAATGTCATAGCACTAATGGTGGCAAATCTGAGATTTTGTTTACAGTTGCTCATAATTAAAGAATATTGTGGGTTTCCTGGATTAGCTACAATGTCCAATGAGCAATATTCTGAAACTTTAAATTTAAATTCTAAATTTTATTAATGTTAATAATTCAAAATGGAGTAATTAGGTTAATATTATTAAATAAAATTAGGTATGTTTTTTATGTACATACATTTTTGGAAAGCCAAATGATAGTATTGGTGAGAAGATGGTCATGCCAAGTTATTTATACTCTATTTATATTACTAGGTAAAATAGAAAACTACATTGGGAAATCTATTGTAGGATAATTGTGTCATGGTTGAACTTCACTATTGGTTTGATAGTTTATACCAATTGTTGACTTTTTAAGCTTAGAATGATGAAAACCATTTTTTTTAATTTTTACTTTTGTAATAAAAATTTTATTTTGTTCTCTGAAAATCATGGTTATTTTGAGTTGTGAAATTTTGATAAAGGACATGTACTTTAATGTTATAAGATTTTTAAATTTTTTGTTACTATATTTTGATTTTTTCAAAATCTAATTTTCTAATGACTTTATGACTACTCCAACATTTCTTTTATTTTTTGCTCTTCTTTTAATAACCCTACAGTTATTTTTGTTTTCCGTTAAAACTATTACATTGTAAATTCTACATTTAGCTATGGTTAAGTTTTTTGTTTTAACACAAAGTTTTATATATATATGTATATATATATATATATATATATATATATATATATATATATATATATATATATATATATATATATATATATATATATATATATATATATATACATATACATATATATATATATATATATATATATATATATATATATATATATATATATATATATATATATATATATATATATATATATATATATATATATATACATATAAACTTATATATATATAAACTTATATATATATATATATATATATATATATATAAACTTATATATATATATATATATATATGTAAACTTATATATATATATATATATAAACTTATATATATATATATATAAACTTTTATATATATATATATATATATATATATATATATATATATATATATATATATATATATATATATATATATATATATATATATATATATATATATATATATAAACTAAAACCTTTTTTTACATTTAGGTTTATACATATTTTAAAGAAAAAAATTTAAATGGTTTGCAAAGTGTTGATGTTACCCTTCTTAAGTAAGTTTCTACATCATAAATAGACTTTTTTTGTATATAAATTAAATGTTCATCATTGTTATGATTAAACCTTTTTTTGATTTTGCCTTTCATTTTTCTACTGAAAAATTAAAGTTAACAATTAAAAGCTGAACATTTTTATTCTTAAAAATTATCTTCAAAGATTCAACCTAATGCATATTTTTTTTTTTTTTTTTTTTTTTTGCGAAGTTGACATATTTGCTAATTTTCTAAGTATAAAAATTATATGTCAGTTTGGCTGTAAATAATTTTGTTGGCTTTCAAAACTGGAAATTTTAATATTTTTTTATAGAACATTAATTTATTTAAAATAAGTTTATTATATATAAATTTTATTGACATATAGCGTTAATTTTATTTTTCAATTACTTCTTGCTTAATTTTTATTTGTTCTTTAATTTTCAAATTTGACTTTAATTTTGTATTACTTGATACTTTCAAGACTCTTTTTTAATTACAAGATTGTAAAGCTGTCATAGGAAATTTTAGCAGAAAACAGTATCTTGTGTACTTTTTTCATTGTGTTAGTTAAATAAATTATAGTGATTTTAATAAACAATTTGATTTTAAAAAAAAAAAATTTTTTAACACAAGTGATTCTAGTGATTATATTTTAGATTTTTTTATTTGCGATTTGATTTTTTTATTATTTGCGATTTGATGCTTTACATTAAATTTTACTAAAAAATTGATATACATATGTCATATTTCATATGTCATACTTATATCTATGCATTCATACTTATATTTATGCATTCATTTTTATATCTATGCATTCATACTTATATCTATGCATTCATACTTATATCTATGCATTCATAATTCAATTTTAAATTCTGGTAAAAACAATTAATCAGAAAGATTGTTTGTTTTTTGATTTTTGAAGTACAAAAATTACTGGAGATTAAACTCCATTTTTAAAGGGTCAAAGTCAGATTAGTGATCACTTTTTTTTTTTATTTATTTTGAACTTTTCTTTAAACAAAGATAAATAATAAGTATATATTTATAAAAATCCTGTTGTATGTAATAAAACAGGATTTTTATAAATGTAGTTTCTTATTGCGCATCATTAATCGTAACAGTCAATTATAAGAGTTTTAAAATTGATTAATAAAATAAGTAGATAATAAACAAAAATAAACTTAACTTTATATTGACTTTTATTAGAGCTGGTAGCATTGTTGTATATTACACACTAACGTTTGAATATTTGTATGATCAAATGGTTGAGTTCATTGATGGAATCAATCAATATGGGAAAATAACAAATATCAGTATAGAGAATACGCAACTTTACTCTTCAAATGATGGTTTGTTTTTGCACACATAGTTTTTATATAGAGAAAGCACTAGTCACTAGATTATTTAGTTAACTGATAGCACTGTTGCGCGAAGTGTGAAATCAAAAAACTTTGTTGTTTTTTTTTTGAACTGTTATACTTATTATATATATTATTATTATATATTTTGCTAATCTAAATCAATATAGATTTTTGAGAAAAAGAAGAAGAAAATGAAGAATAATGAATGAAAAGGTTGCTGACCCATCCCAAACCCTTAGGCTATGTAGCACCACTTCACTGCGAGTCAGGCTATTTGTCAGTCGATGTATGTACTGAAGCCCCCGGCAACAGGCTATTTCAGTATGATGTCATCATGCTCACCTAACTCATTTAGTCTTGCATGGTAGTTTTAAAGAGAGTGCTAATAAACCAGACCAGAAATAGTTTAAAAACTTGAATTTTTTTTTTAATTAAATGATAGACTGCCTAACCAAACCCTCAGTTGATGTAGCAGCACTCCCTTGCAAGTCAGGCTATTTTTCAGTTGATGTAGCAGCACTCCGTTGTGAGTCAAGCTATCGGATAGTCGATGTAGCAAAACTTCCTTGTAGCAGCATAAGATAGTTGATGTAGCAACACTCCGCGCATGTTTTAAAAATATATTTTAATAAAATAACAACAAAAACACCATTAATTAAAAAAAACTTTTTAGTCATTATTATTGTAATTTTTTTTTTTTATAAAATTTAATGTACTTCCCCATTAATTTAATTGATTTGACATTTTGACAACAATAAAATGTAGCTTAATTGTCAAGGTAGCAAAACTGTATTTGAAAGAGACTTTTTTTACATTAAAAGTCTTTTTCCACTACAATATAAAGATATATATATATATATATATATATATATATATATATATATATATATATATATATATATATATATATATATATATATGTATATGTATATATATATATGTATATGTATATATATATATATATATATATATATATATAAATTTATATATATACATATATATATATATATATATATATATATATATATATATATATATATATATATATATATATATATATATATATATATATATATATATATATATATATATGTATATATAGAAAAACTTTTCAAACTAAGATGAGTAAAATATATTTATTAGTTAATATATAACAAGTATTTAAAAATTTTCTTTAACACAGAAGGCCTTTTATATAAAATCTTCAGCTTTTTATGAGATTTACAAAACTATAAAAAACGCTTTATATTGAACTTCCTATAAACATTTTAAAAGGAAGTAGTTAAAGTTTATATAAAAAAAAAACTATAATTAACAACAATATAGTATAACTTGATTCTTGTTGGTAAGAAAATTTTAAAAGTAATGTAAAAATTTTCTGTTTATATTTTCATTGTGTCATCTCAATGTTTATCTAGGTGAGCTTCATAAATAAGAAGAAATTCTCATTTGAAAGTTTTAACATTAAAAATAATTTTAAAAAATGTTCATTTTTATGGAAATTGAAAACATGTTGATCAAATTTATCTGAACCAATATCTGTTTTGCATGTGTAGATGTGTAGATTAGTTCTTAACCTTAGGTTATTAGTTTTACCAATGTATGTTGTTTTTATATCACATCCATTACATGATAGAAAATAAATAATATTTTTTGAACTACATGATATTAAAGTTTTAATGTACCATTCTTTACCAGATGATATGGTAAAATGGTAAACAAACTGAAGATACATAGTACATAACTTACAACGTTTTGATACGCATTTTTAAACCTTGCATTCATTTTTAATAAAAACTGGTTTCTTATTAAAATTTGATGTACTTATGTGTCTTAAAATATTTTTTGTTTGGCGTTGTGATAGTACAATAGAAGTGTTTTCAAACTGATTTTAATTTATTGTCTAAAACAGAGTTTTAAAATACCATGTAGAGTATTTAACAAATTTTCAAAATTAATATTTGCAAAATTTGTAGTTACAAAAGGTATAGTTTTGTTAACTTCTCTTTTTTTTGAGGTGCTGGTCTCTCTAGTCGAGCTTTAAAAATTCTATTATTAATGATTTTAACTGGGTAATTGCATCAAACTAAAAAATTTTTAAGTTGTTGAACTCTGATTTCCATTTATGTTGGATTAGACACAAAACAAATTATCCATTTAGCTATGTGAAAGGTATATTTTCCTTTGTATGTTTAAGGTGATGGCTATTGTAATTTAGATAATCATGGGAATTTGTAGGTTTATAAAAAATATCTGTTTCAATAATGTTGTTATCATGTAGAATAACTGTTATGTCTAAAAAATTTAAAAATTGGTACTCCGTGGTTTTTGTATATGAAATTTTAGATTGTTCGTAAATGAAATTTTAGATTGGTAAAGAATTAAGACACTTTAACAGCAAATTAACATTATTTGATTTTAATAAAGCCACAAAACCATCCATGTATCTTTTGAAATTGTTTTGAATATTCTTGCATTCAATTTTATTGAAGCAATTTGGTAAAACTTTAGGAAAAAATTTTGCTTCTTCTAGATATCCTACAATTAAACAAGCAGTGGCAAAACAAGCAAGTTGGCTTTGCCAACATATGGTGGAGCTATTTTTGTTCCCATAGCTGTTCTGATTAATTGATTGAAAAACTCATTATTGAAAGTAAAATAATTGTTTTTTAAAATAAAATTCATGCTTTCTAAAATAAAAGCTTCCGAAAATCTGATAGGTATATCATTACATAGTTTACATATCCAAAATTTAACTGCTTCTAAACCTAGTTCAAAAGAAATACTAGTATAATGGTTAGAAATATCAAACACTGTATAAGGTGGAATTTTTGTACTCCATATTATTAGGTAGTACTCTAATGAAATGCCAATTATCTTTGATATATGTTGTTAATTTTGGTGCAAGAGGTGATAAGATTTTTTCAACGAGTTTACTAAGGCATTGGGTAGGTGGAAAAGAACCTTCAACTATTGGTCTTCCATTTAGATCTGGACATAAATATTCAATATATTCTTTATTAGATTCTTTTTCAAATTAGTTGAATTTCATCAATTATTTAACAGCAAAATTAAATTGTTTATTTTTTTGACCAATATTTTCTTTTTTTGTTCTGGGAAGTGTGTTACTTATGTTTGCTTATGTTTGCTTATTTTTGCCCATGTTGCTTATGTTGTTTATGTTTGTTTTTTGTTCTAGTAAGTGTGTTGCTTATGTTTGGAAGATGACTTTAACTTTAATGCAAAGCTTTAACTTGCCTTAATTTACAAAAATTTTAATTTATCTTTATTTACAAAGACTCAAACTTTCCTTTGTTTACAAATGATTTTTACCTATATTTACCAAAAACTTTTACTTGCCTTTACATTATAAAAATTGAACAGCTTATGTGAAAGTAAAAAAAAAATTATATCTTATATACATATTTTTGTAAAAAATTTTGTAAAAAATAAAAGTTACCACCTGATCCTTGTCAAAGCTTTCTCAATAGGGTCACTAGAAAAATGTCCAAGGCAAACATACTTGTGGCTTGTAGTTAGTAAATATTTTACTAATTAAACCATTCCATGACACATATGAAATATATTATATAATTTTTAACAATGTGTTGTATGCATTATGTATAAAAGCACAAGAAGAATTTTTTCTTAAATTTTTTATTCTTTGACCATGTTTTTTAAAAGCCATTTTTAAAGAAGCTAAACAAGTTTAAACATTTTGATGTTTAATTGGTTTAGGGAAAATTTCAGTTTATTGAGATTAGTCAATTTTCCTATCACATCTTTTTCAAATTGAAAAGGTTTTTTAAGATCTGATTATTTTTCAGTTTTTAAAATAATTTTGTAAGTATAAACTTTGAATAGTTCTTCCATATGACTTTGTTTACTTAATAAAAAGTGCAACAATCAGCTCTTTTTATTAGCAATTGTTGTACTTTTTATTAAATGAACAAAGTCGTATAGAAGAAAAATGTTATCATTAGTGCACCAAGTATAAACATTTCAAAAAACTTTTTATTTATTTTGTTATTGTCGCAAAGAATAGTAACAACATAACTGACTCAATATTTTTATTGTTTTTAATCCTTTTGATTGTTTGATCATACTAAAAATTAGCATCTAAACCCATTACTGGTAATGCTTTATAAAAAAAATGTTTCCAACAAAACAAAGAACAAATTATTAAACCCAAGACTGTTTTTTTGCTAATTCGTTTGGGGAGTTTACAAACTTATTTTTGTAAGTTTAGCTATGATTTAACATAAACTTTATCAGTTAGTAGAAATAGAACATTTTTCAAAATAAAAAATCATCATCTTCAACATTTCTCTTTTTAGATATCCATTTTGTCATCAGTGATATACTTGGTAGCTCGTAGTTATCACATAACTGAGAGTAAAGAATTCTTGACAATAAAAAGTACTCAAATGCCCAGGCAACCATATTAGGAGAATACTTTTTTTTTCATTAATAAACATTAAGGAGTTCATACTTAACATCTGTTCAATAATAGTACTTTTCTTGTGATCAATTGGTAAAGAATTCAAATTGTGTATTGCATCATGAAGAAAACTAATACAGTCAATAATATATAGATTGTAAAAAAAAGGTTTTAAGTACTTAACACCACAGCAAGCTATCAAACAACAAATCATTTTTTATTTTTAAAATAAACTTTGGAACCCAAGTTATCCAATATATCAGCAATATATCATTAAAGATGTGAGTAGTTTTTATAGATATTTCGTATTATTGAAAAGAATAAAGATGTAGTTTTAGACGTTATTTTATTAAACAAATCTTTAAAGGATAAAATATTATCCACTTTTACAAAAGCATCCATTTCATTAAGGCAGTGACAGTAGTTGGTCTTGGTGGTGCCAGTGGAGTTAGAATTTGACTTTAGACAGGAAAATATAGATGGTGGATGTTTTAGTCTTAACTTTACATAAACCAAAACCTTTTCATATTCTTTAGGCCTGTGATCTTTACATATAATAAAAGTTTTTTAATTATCTTCATTTTTTATATTTAAACAAAAAACTTTCACAGACTTAAAAACCATATTCTTTAAATCTAATTACTTAGCTCTAAAAAGAAAGTAAATTTAATAAAAATAAAAATCATCACATATTAAATTAAAAGACCAACTTCTTTTTCTAGAATGCATCATATTACATACTGTTAATTTGAAATTTATTTAAAAAAAAATTATTTATTTCAAAAAACTTTATTTAATTTATTTCAAAATTTATTTTTAAAAAAACAGTTTTTAAAGCCATTTGTTTACTTGGCCTGTTACTATAGTAGGTTGTGGCTTATTCACTTTGGGTTTTTCTTAGCATATAGTGAAAATATTTATGCACTTAGCCTTTTTTTACATGGCTGAGTGCATAAACTTTATTTTGTTTTAGTGTTTTTTTACCTGGTTGAGTGCATAAATTTTATTTTATTATAGTGTTTTGTACTCCACCTTACAACATCTCAGCTGTAGCTTATGACAAAAACACTGTGATGTTATCATGGGTGCGAGATGCTTGTGTTAACCAAACAGACATATGGTTGTATGTTTATTACAAAGACATAACTTCTTCAAACTCAACATGGGAATGGAGGGGTTTAGATTCAAGTAAACAGTGGGGACTATTGCCTGATCTTATAACATCTCATAAATATAAGGCATACATGCTAACGGCTCTAAGTATTGGAAATGGTTTGCCAAGTACAGTTTTTTATTTTGAAACATCACCTTTCCGTAAGTATTATTTATTTTATGAAGTGCTTAAACTCATTTACACAAAGTGAAATGATAATCATGGAAACTAAATGAATAAAGAATAACTATGATAACTATGGAAACTAAAGAAATTATGTGAATCAATTTATGTTATGAGTTTTTTGTATTAACTTTCTAAAAATATTAGAAGTAGTAATATTAAATTCATAACTATTAAAAATTATTATTTTTACTGATTACTGTAGAGTTATTACTTGAATTATTACAATAAGTTATTTATAAGTGTTACTTGAGGTTTTACTTATTTACTAATAACTTTAGGTTTTATTATTATAAGAATACTGAATGAATTATAAGTTTTATGTTTATACTTATTTTCTCTAGCTCCAGAGAGGCCTCCTCCTTATGCATATACTTTTTCTCCAAGTTCTACAGAAATTTATATTGAGTGGACAGATATACCAGAAGAATATCAAAATGGTCCAATACTTGGCTATAAAATAAAATATAAGATTTATATAAATAGTGAAAGCTTTCAAATGGTTGAAGCACAATTTGGTTTTAATGCTTTTACAATAAAAAATTTAAGACCTTTCACACTTTATCTTGTGGAAGTTTATGGATATAATGTAAATGGTGATGGTCCTGCTCAATATTCTATGTGCAAAACAGTAGAAGGAGGTTTTACTTTTTTAAGTATTTTCATTTTAATTTCAAATGTTGTCCGTATTTATTATGAATAAATGAAATAAATAAATATTAAAAATTTGTTTACAGTTCCTTCTATCCCAGTTCCTAAATTTGTTGTAAATGACATGCAATCTATCAGTTGGTGGTCAGTGTCATGGGGACCAATCCCATCAGAGTATGTTAATGGAATTTTACTTGGATATCAGCTTGTATATTATTTAAGCTATCAATCAGGAGTAGAAATAAGTGGAGAAAAAACAAAAATTACTTTAGTTTTCGACATTTACACTCGCTATTATAAACAAAGAAATTTGCTTAATTATGCTATTTACAGTGTGAGTGTTGCAGGTTTCACTGCAACTGGAAGTGGTCCTGCACCTGAATATCAAGCAAGTTAGTGCTTTTTATTATAAAATTTAAAATTGAAATTTATTTTTTTGAACATACAAATATAGTGCGTTTGTCACTTAGGAACATGCAAATGTGCAGAATTGCTTTATGCAAACATATACATTAAAAACCCATTCACTTCTCTTGATGCTGATTTGACCCCAAGTGGATTTTTTATTAAACTGTTGCAAGATACAGTTGTTCAATCCTGCGGTTCTTGTAAAGGTTACAATAGTTCTAAGCTATACTTTACTCAATCTAAGTATGGTGATGATCCTGTAAAAAGCTCAGAACTTGATTTAAAAAATGCAATAAACAAGGATGTTGACTTAAGTTTTCCTATTTATGGAGTGAATGGTCGAGAAGTTGCACCCGACAGTAAGTTTTCTGTGTTGGTCGTGTCACCTGGAATCGCAATGGTTGTGCGTAATGAAAACACTATAAATCAAGTTATTAAGCAAATGGTATTAGGTGTGTTAAATGTATGGCCTGTTCTGCTAATTAGCTATGCGATTGCTTTTATATTTGGTATATTTATTTGGTTTAGTGTAAGTAATTTGTTTTCTATTTTGGAAAGATAAATTTTAGTTATAAATGTGCTTTATAATTAACAACAAAAATCTGTTTTAAGGATCAATTTTCTAATCCAAGTCAGTTTTCAAAGGGAAGTTCACTTCGCGGTCCAATGTCAGGATTTTGGTTTACATTTGTAACAATGACAACAATTGGGTAATTTAATATTTACATTTAGTATAGAATACTAAAAATTTTTTAATTCAAAAATAAATGAGTAAAAAAATTACTGTAAAAAAGATGTTTAAGTACGTTTTATAATCTCCTCGAACTTTTATAACAGCCTCTTTTTTTGTGTGTCACTGAGGCAACAAGAAACTCACAATAATAGGGCGTTGCTAGGATGATCAGATTCTATTTAAAAACTTTTTGTTTTAAAAATATAAAAAACTTAATTTAAATCCAATTAGACTTAATGTTCTTTAAAATTTTCAAATAATTTCCAGAATTTTTTGGAAATTTTAAAGAACAACGTGACAGTGGACAGTCTTACCTTGTTGTAAAAGGTGTTAACTAGCATGACCATTGCCAGTGCTTGCACTCCAAATTAATGGAGCTTAATAGAAAGTACATTACATCTGGGATTGAAACATGAGTTTGGTGGCCTTCAAATATTGACTTTGTTTGCTGCAGACTGCTTCACTGCTGACACTCCTTGGCAAGACCTCTTCTAACTGACCAGGCACTAAAATTCAAAATAAATAACATCCACACTAAGAGGCAGATGAGAAGGTATTTGTAACCTTGAAATCAGTATGTAGTTCACAGGCAAAAAACATAACACATTGTTGGTTTTTAAAGTTGTAATTCTTGGCTTTGTGATTTGTTCATGCATGTGATTGTTTTTTGTGTTACAATGCATGTGATTGTTTTGTGTGTTACAATGCATGTCATTGTTTTTTGTGTTACTACCACTCATATTTTTATAAGTAATTATCTTTATTATACTTTATTAATCTTTTAGACTAAAATTATCACTTTAATAATTATTTGAATTATTATTTAAAAATAATAGTTTAAATAATTAATTTTTTGTAGCAAAAATGGTTTGTTATTATACTAATGATACTCTGAAGAAGAAATAGAAGTTCAATTGAAATATAATATATAATGGTTACATAAAAATATAATATTTAATAATTAAATAGAGAAAAAATGTATACATAAATTATTTCAATTAAACTATTAAACTTTTTTTTTTTTTGTTTATTAAAATTTAATAGATATGGCGACTTAAGTCCTCGTTCGGTATTAGCAAGAATATTTGCAATGGTTTGGTTTCTCACTGGATTGATTTTGAATGGCTTGATTATTGCTTTTATCGTTACAAAATTGACAGTTTTTAGTTCAAATAGTGAATATATGTTATACAACACAAAGGTATTTAATCATTTACTTACAGTTTCTATAGATGTTTGTTTATCTTATTTTTTAAAAGATAATTTCTTTTGATTATACTTTAATTTTATTGTTTAATTGAGTTGAGATAAAGCTCCAGTTTATAGATTTAGTTTCATTTGATGCTTCGTTAGTTGATTGGTCTGGTCAAATTGATATAATTTTTATAATAATCAAAAATATTAAATCAATTATTAAACTATTAATATTCTAAAAATAAGTATAATACTTTCACTCTTTATATAAATCTTTATATAAATTTATATATGAATTGTAAAATACAACTCAGTCATAATAAGATTTAGCTATGAAGTTTAAATGCAATAAAGCTTTTGTTCAAAGAGTATTCAAAAAAGAAAATCTGAAAGAATATTACAAGAAACAAATACCAAAGAGATTGCTCAATGGAGAAATCAAGGATATTGCTTCCAGGTAATCAATACTATAATCAGTCAAAACGTTATAAATTTTCTGACAAATTTAAGTACATTTGATTAAGAAAATCACTTTTCTAATCAATTGTACTTAACGTTCTTGTATGGCAGGCAATTTGCAGTTGAGGTTTTAAAAGCTCTCCTTTTATAACAAATTAATCTTTGACCAGATCTATATGTGAGTGAATCCTTGAAAAAACAATTTCTTCTAATTAAAAAGCACACATAAATAACTTCTTCCTCAAAATAAAAAGCACGATTAATCAACCTTATTTTGGCCAGATCTGACATTGATCCACTATTCCAAAAAAGTAATTGAGTGGTATAAAAAAAAAAGTCAATTTTGTTTCAAAGGATGCTAACTCATCTAACTGTCGTGAGAAGTATTGAATCTTACTGGGCAATTGTGAAGGGAATATCGAGGAAAAGAGGCCAATGTGAAAATAGTGTTAAAAGTTTCTGAGATTTACGGATTAATGCTACAAAAAAAGTGGGGCAAAGTAAAATTGTGGAGATAATAGAGGGTACTTTATAAAAAATTAAATTACTTGCACGTTGTAAAGTTAAGGCTATATTTATTTTTATTGAAATAAAAATTAAGTATGTAAGCATCATTATAAAAGAAAATCATTACAATTGGTAATGATTTTTAGTATATACATACAGTTTTCTTTGATAAAACTTAATTTAAAAAACGTCCAAATTTCAACTAATCATAGTGATATCAGTTTAATTTTTTATCACAGTATGATAATAATACAACACTCATAGTTATTATAGATAATTATTTATAAATGTAAAATATGCAAGCTGAAAACACACTAAATATTCACGTCTAGCATGGGTGATTGTGTAGATATAAGCCATCTTTAGGAAAATATCATATATATATATATATATATATATATATATATATTATATATATATATATATATATATATATATATATATATATATATATATATATATATATATATATATATATATATATATATATATATATGTGTGTGTGTGCTATATATAAAATAACATTGTGCGAAATTCAATTATTATTCTCTTACTGCCTATCTATGTGCACAACTTTTAATAGGAATTCGAATGAACTTTTTGCACGATTGAAGATGACAATTATTCTTGATATCATTCAGCGCATTAAGTCAATATATGGCATCAATCCAGAAATGTAGAAGACCAAAAACTACCACTCCATAAACCGACAACTAGCTTTGAAATTTGGTTGTGATGAATATACAGATTTTAATTTTTACTCAACAGCCTCCTAGTGTCCAGTTCAAAGAAGCCTTTTTAAGAGCTTTAATCTATGATTGTACCATGTTGCATAAAAGCTATAATTTTTATAAAGTGTAGCTCTTTTTAACTAATCTTTGTTTTTTAGTAACTCCCAGCTTAATAGTGGTTGCTTGCAGCCTTATTAGCCTTGTTATTGAGTTTGTATAGAAACTATTAAAAAAATACAAAAGCTATAAATATTAAGTCGTCGGATCCTTTTGACCATAACTGTAGATATTCATTGTTCTCTCATAGTATATGTTTTTTGTTTTATCATAGTAAAAGTTTTTTATTTTATTATAAGAATAGTAAACTATGCAATGAATAAACCTTAAAAATTTTTAATGTTATCGGTATTTTTTCATAGGTTGCAGTGTTAGATAATTCCTTTGAGAATAAATTGGCAATTATCAGTAATGCAGATGTATCTAAAGGTAAAAGATTATCATAAATTAATAAAACTGCTTGTTTTATATAAATTAATGTCTGAGAAAGCAATTTTTTTAATGATAAACATAAAATATATAATCATCTAACATTTATGCTTTATTTTTATATTATTTTTATAGCCTATTTTTTCCTTTTCTTTACTTTTCTTTATTTGTATCCTATTTATATTACATTTTTAAACTTGTTAAAATTTTAAATTGTTTTTATAATTGCAGAGCCAACGGCACGGGGGAGTGGGGCATGAGCACGTGCTCCCCACACACACATACACATTTTTTTTTCAGAACTTTTTTTTTATGTTTTTCTAAGAAAGTTCTACATATAAAGGACTTTTTTTAATGTTTGACGATTGTGCCCCTCCACCGAATTGTATTTTACATTGTTTATATATAATAAACACAAGACGCATTCTAGATGTCTATAGACGTCTAAAATAGATTTAGATAAAAATGGATTGTTACAGGCGTCTTCTATACAATAAAATTCATGCCTTAATTGAAGACATCTTATATATGTCTTTTATAATGTACTTTTTTATAAGACACCCATTTAACGTCATAAAATTGTCTGATTTAAACAATGTTTTAAACTACCTTAAATGTGTTAAATATATTTAAATCCAAATATATATTTAAAAAAATAGATTTAAAGTGGGTGAAGTTTTAAACCATCATCGTGACTTAGAGACGTTTGAAGACGTCTAGACGTCAATCGCTTATTTAGACGTCTACAGCACGTAGAGTTTATTGGTATCTGATATTTTATAAATCATCAAATTATATTTCTAAATTATATACCGTGTGTATACTGTAGTTAACTTTATTACCTTTTAACTAATGTTTATAAAGTTAAAGTGATTTTTGTGTTTTAAAACATAATAATTGTATGCGGAGCAAATTGTGTGCGGACTTATTAATGTGTATTAATATAAGTGAACTTAGTCCTATCATGACTTTATTACATATATGTTTTATAAAACATCGTAATAAAATAGACCCTTGTCTATTAATTTTTAATGCACTTATTTTTATTTTAAAATTAGAAAGTTGTTTACATCTGTTTTTGTGTTATTTTAACATTCTAAAAGACAGAAATATGTTTCTGTAACTTACAGTTTAAGCATTCAAATTAAGCGTTTAAAAGAAAAACATTACAAATTATTACAGCTAAAATCATCACATTTCCCATATAAATAATATTAAATCCTATCTAAATAGATTTCATTAAGCTGTTATTTTTTTATATATTATTTTTTGTAATAAATAATTAACTAATGGATTGCGGTGGTCGAGGTAGAAATTTTTGCTTTTTGAATTTTTACAAACCCACATGCAAATATGTATATAAAATGTTAATTGTTATTATTGTATACATTTATATCTTTTTTTCTGTGTATTTATTTTTATTTGTTTTTATAAAGTATTTACGCAGTATTTGTTGAAAATGGATATGCCATTGATGTGCCTTTGAATGTGTCTGAGTGTTATTGAGCTGAAAGATTGTTTTGTTGTGTCATTTGGCATATAGATGGCGTTTGAGCTTTAATTCTCGGTTGAATTGCATCAATTGTTGTTGATAACGTTCTCCTCTAATGGTTTTGGTAGGCTGGAGTAGCTCATAGTAATTACTTTTATCTGATCCCACCAGATACTTCAGCGACGTGACGTACTATTTTTAGTACTTAATGTATTTTTAAGCAGGAGATTGTGATGCTTAAAAATAAATATAGTTTCAAGATATTATCTAATGTTATGCCATGTTATTCCTTAAGATTATTTGAGGATTAATGATGTTTCAAAATTGTGCATAAAGATTATATACAAATGCATACAACAGAAACAAAAAAATAATCACATACAAATATTCGAGTATCATACACATAGAACGTTATTGCACAACATTATACATATACAAGTTGTTTTAAAGATATATTAACAATATGTGTATAGATATTCGATATACAAATATTTCATCAATGCTTGAAGACTTGCACAATAAAGTTGTTGACATTGTATACATTGATGTAATATCACTATTGGATTACCAGTCTGCATTGGATGCAAAATCACTTGTAATAGCATCAATTGATAATCGTAACACTGGATACGGGTTTGTTATGTCTGGAGAAAGTGCAGCTTTAACAATAGATATTAATAGCTATTTGAGTTCAAAAAGAGATGAAATATCTGCGTTTACTGCATCTTTTAGTTCAAGAATACCGGTAAATGAATTTTTTGTGGAGTGGAAATTTTTATGTTCAAGTTTAATCACATAAACACTTTATTTATATTAGGGACTATTAATGGTTGATTCAAGTCAAATTATTGCAAACATGTTCTCTAAAGATTCGCCTGCTTTTCAACAGTCGCTCTTATGGTTGGTCATCTTAATTGTTTTCTTTACTGTCGGAGCGCTTATTTATGAAATAGTGATGCGTAAAAAGAAATGTAAAGTTGGTGCCGAAGGTGATTTTTTTTTCGTGTGGCCTATAAAATTTAGTTTTTTTATTTTTTAGTTTAACCTATAATATAGAAATTTTATCTTATTTTTTAGCAACTTTTGCCGAAAAACTTTTTCTATTAAAGGATCAAATTCAAGAATTTCGTGAAAATTTTGACAAACTTACTAGCCAAATAATAAATGAACAGGATGAAGAAAGAGTTCAACTGGCAGATCTTAAAAACATATACATTAAAAAATATAAACAATTTAATACCTACAAAAACAAAATAAAAATTTAACTTTATTATCAAAAATCACTTCAATAATATTTTTTTTGGCACTAAAACTAACTCGAAGCGCTTTTTTTTGAGTTGTACGCTTTTTCTTTGAGTTTTAATTTACGCTTGCGTCTTTTGCTTGCATATATATATATATATATATATATATATATATATATATATATATATATATATATATATATATATATATATATATATTGTATTTTTAAAAATATACCGATAGTATTGTGTTTTGTTTTATGCGGTTTTTTTTGCAATTTTATCTTACACAAAACTAAACAATATTAAAATAATATTTATAAGATTTACTTAAAAAAATATTAAAAATTTTTGGATGTCAGACTCTATCATTAGATTCTTTATAACGTTTTTGTCAATAATCTTTAAAGTTTTTTGTCAATGAAATTTCCATTGATAGTATATATAGACTTACTACAAGTATTTATTTATAAGATTTTTTTATGACGTATTTTTAACAGTATCTTTATAAGTTATCTGTTCAAAAATTATATATGTATTTTTTGTTTTGATGTTCCTGCTTTTTGGCGGGAGAATAATAAGGTGTTTTTCACATATTTAATTTTCTCAGGAATATAATCGGTTACTCGACATTTAACAGCATTATTTGGCAGTGGGTAGTTTTTAAGTATTTACACCACTACCCCTCTTTGTATTTCTAGAATTACCATTAAAGTTTTGTCACTTAAATTATTGAATAAATTCAGAAATTTTACGCAAAAATAAAGAAATTAAAATGTTTTGCAGTGCTATTATTTTTATTAGTATTACTAATAAATAATATACAAAGAGCTAGTTGCCCATTCACAATGATATGTTCGCCGGGTTTAAAACTCATTTTTCGGCATAGAGAAAATTTTCTTCTAAAAATTTGTGATTCTTTAAAGCAAAATCAATTTTTAAACAGATTAGATTTTGACACCCTCAATAAGAGAAATAATTTTTGCAAGATTTGGCAATTACTCAAAAAAATTTGCTCATTTGTTTTTTTTATCAAAACCGCGATTGGAATTTTGACATCCTCAGATAATGTCAAAACTCAAATCGCAGATGATGTTTATATATCTAAGATGATGTTTATATATTAGGAGTACCTAAGATTAGTATCTTGGTTCGAAGGGAACTCGTCTCAATTTGCTTTGCTATCAAGATGTTTCCTAATAATAAGTAAATAAATAATCTAGTCGAATAAATGAAATATATCGTTGTTTTTTTACGGTTTTGTTAGTTTGATAATGACTCTCGCTACATGAGTGGAAATACCACATAATAAAGAAATAAATAGTATGATATCGTATATGCTTATATATATATATATATATATATATATATATATTATATATATAAATATATATATATATATGTATATATATATATATGTAAATATATATATATATATGTATATATATATATATATATATATATATATATATATACATATATATATATATATATATATATATATATATATATATATATATATATATATATATATATATATATATATATATATATTAGGGTCTCTCAAACCACTTTTTGATAAGCAATCTTAACTCTATCTTCAAGCATATATTTTCCTTAAAATATTTTACTTGTTTTTTATTTCATTTCTTGGACAGTTTTTATTAAAAAATGCAGTTTTAAATACTAAGTAATAATTTTATTGAAGTAATAATTACTTTTTAAATTTTTTAAATTAAATACTTTAAGTAATAATTTTTCTTAAGAATGCTATTTTGATTCTTTTAAACGGAATATCAAAAAACGAATATATTAAAATTGAAAATATGCGAATATACTTTTAAACTTTTGAAATTCCATTTTCTTTCTTCTTTTTTTATTTTTATCAACGAGCATTTTTTTAACATGTTTAATTTGTAACCAGTAATTTAATTCATCTTTTATATTATTTTTGTTTTGTTTAAAGTTTCATTTAAATTCCTAAAGTATTTTATCAAAAAGCTGTTATTTGACGCGTTTTATTGTATACGGTTCTCGGTGACAAGACCTAATTGTCTACTTCGAGTTTCCACTTTATTATTAATTTGTTATTTTTTCTTATCTGTTTAACGAAATCTTTATTTATAGTTATTTCCATTTTTATGTTTTTTTGTATATAAATACCTGTAATAAAGAACAAAACAAAAACAAAAAAATCAGTGTTTTAAATGTGCCGTGGTCATATATCACCACAGCACACACACAAAAAAAATAATACTGAGTGATATAACAGCACATAAAAATTATCCTTTGCTAATAATTTAAGCCTATTTTAAACTAGTTGTCCAATATTTAGTACATGTGCGTACCAGTTATGTAGTGATTCTCTCTATGTTTAAATAAACAAGTTTACTGATAAAAGATTTATTGGATCTAATCGTCAAAGCTATAAATAAAATAAGAATAATAAATATAACATATAAATCAGCAAAAAATCTTGCAAGGCTTTGCTTTACAGGGAGAAGAATTTAATGAAATTACCTCTATTGACCTATTAAAAATGTGAGAAGATCATGTTCTAAATCTTGGATTTGGATTGTGAATAAGCAACGTTAATAAATTGAAGTTATTGTTGGGCTTTATAGAAACGTCAGAAACTACTGAAGAAGAAATCTATTTGTCGTCGGTTCAATCTGCATATTTAAAAGCTGCAGATTTGAATCAGACTTGTTAACCGCCTAAAAAGCGCTTCTGGAACAACTGATTTTTTTTCTGTCCAAGAAAGATGCACGAGTTTGCTTCAATCATTTTAAAGATAAAGAGCCTTCATAAGGAAATTTTTTTTCCATTGAAAAATTTAGATACGATTCTAGACATAAAGTTGCTTTTTTGTGCCTCTAAATAGAAATAAATACTGATACCACGCAGCTTATACTTAAAAAATTTAAACTAAAAGTAAACTCCACTACATACTGTAATACCATTTTTTGTTGATCAAAATCGAGACAATTTTTCTGTTAAACAGCCATGTTCTAGTTCCTCATTACTTAGTGTCAACTTCAGTTCAAAAAAAACATTGACTTTATGATTGAACCAGTAATAGTAGAAGTAGTAGATAAAACTGAAAATTATATTAATCCACTTTTTAATTTTAATGAGTTCTCTCAATCTCAAGTCTCAATTTTTTTAATAAGTAATCTGGAAAAAACTATTGACAAATTGCTATAACTAAATCGCTATTTTCTTTTTCAAAATAGAAAATTACAAGCACATTAAATCTTGGATAAGAGGTATGTCACGATATTTTGAATCATTTGTTTACTTTCTAGATGAAGGAAAAGCTTGTTTGAACCACCCTGACTGTTTTAAAGATAATCCAAGTCTGTTAAGAATATTTAATTGCTTTGAAACTTTTATAGAAACACAAAAAAATTTAGAACGGCAAAGTACAATGTGGTCTGAATACAAGTACCACAATACAATGAAGTTCCTTGTATCACTTACCTCTAGTTCTTTCATAACTTTGGATTCAAAGGCATATAACGGAAGAATGTCCGACAAGGCAATAACATTGGATTGTGGCTACCTTACTAAATTCCATCTTTTTTTCTCAATTATGGCTGATAAAATTTTTAGTAACGGTAGTGAGTGTGCTGCTTATAGGATTACCTTTTTTTTCCCTACCTGGCAAACGAGCAACTTCTCAAATGATACCCAGAAGAAGTAGTAAAAACAAGTAATATTGCTAAACTTATAATTCTCATTGAACAGATAATTAGAAGAATGAAAACTTTTCAAATAATTGGACAAGAATTTCCTCTACCACTTCTTGACAGTCTTAATGACATCATAATTTGTACAGCGCTTTCAAATTTTAAATGTTATATCATGAAATAATACTATTTTATGATAAACATTTAATTCAAGCATATTTGTAGTTATATTTTTATTTTATTTAACAATAGTTTTATATATTACATAAAAATAATCACATTATTTTTGTTACAGTTTTGGTTCAAGATTAATTTAAGAGATTCTGTTTTATACCCTGTTACTCCTTCTCCTTTATTAGTAGTTAAAGTATTCTTTAAAATAAGTTCAAAGTCACCATATGGTTTACTATATAAAACAAAAGGTAGGGTTTCTGATCTATTTATAAATCTCTATTAGACTGAGGGGGTAGGATGTAAAAATAATATCCTGGGTCTAATTAGCAGGCTGGTAAGGCTATTGAAGGCCTAAAAACAAAGCTGTATACTTATGTCTTAAGTAGCTCTCTTCTTTTGACTACATATCTTTCATTTCCTTCTCAGGATATTCTATCTTCAGAAATAAAATATCCTAAATTAAATAGAATATCCTAGCAAATTTGATGTTACTCTGACCATATATCATCATTGCAATGATTTGTTAAGTTGTTACTTTTTTTTAATTACTTAGATCCTTCCAGAGTTCTAACGGTCATATCATAGAGCACTGAGGAACAACACTTAACCAGGTAGTTCAAACCTTATTCCTTACCAATAGATTGGTAGGTAATGATGCGTAAACTTCCATTCTAAATTCTATCCAAGTTATCTTAAACTTGATCCAAATGTAGATTTTTTACGTACTGGTAGAAAAAATTTTAATGCTATTACACTAAATAGTTTAAAGTCATCAATAGATTGTGTTTGGAGAACTAAAACCGTTATTATTACTCATTTTAATTAGATGTTTTGCATGTTTTTTACGGCGATAATCGGTTTGTTTAATTTTCGAAATTTTTTGTTCCGTATATATTTGTATATATATTTTGGATATAAAAAGTTGAGTTTTGAAAACCGTGTATTACAGTAAATTTTTACATCAACTGCGTAAGTATCACATTTAAAAAAAAAACTTTATAATGGTTTATTTGAAAGTTAAGCGATTCCACTTTAAAGCAAATCAACTAGAATTACTCATGCAACCGTGGTGCTGTGGTCATAGTTCTGGTTTAGAGCCAAGATGTTTGAGGTTCATAAAGTTTTCATAACAGAAATAAGTAGATTAAAAAAGTCTTTTTTGAATCATTTTGTTGGTCCTTAATGGGGGAAAAAGTGTTACAAAATCAGCAAAATTAATAACATTTTGTGACGCTTAAAGTCAATTTCTCCTTATAACTATAGACCTATCTACAATATACTTAGATACTCCATTTAACCAATAGATTTTACTTAAATCAGAATATTTAATATGCTAATAAAAGAATCCACGTAACTCATCAATGCAAGAAGATGCATTGATGAGATTTCTGGCATGAGTTATTGCATTGGGTGACCTCGTCGCATTAATACATTCCTAGCCCAGAAATCATGGGTATCAATGATATTATAACAATAATTTTATCAGTTATATTATACGTGAATTGTTTTTACTTTATAAAATTTTAATGTATATTATTAATGGTTTAAACCCTTTTAAATTTAAAGTAAAAGTAATTAATTTTAATAGAAACGTAAGTTTAAGATCCGTTTCCGTAAGCTAAATGTTAGGCGGGGTAAATAAAAAAAGCAATTGCTTTTTTTTATTCACCTGGTCTCATATTGTTTTCGAAAATATTATATTATCAGAGTTAAAATTCCAATACCAAATACATTAGAACCTAAGTTTGCTACTCAAAGTTTTAAACTTTTAAATTTTGACTCCTATATGATTTAAGCGACCAAATTTAAGCCAATTTAAGCAACCAAAACATTTTTACTGGTAATAAAAAATTACAGTTTGTAATAAAAAATACAAACAAATAAAAAAAGTGTTTAAAATTTAAAAAAATGTAAAAAACACTAACCATTTCGAACAAAAACTGCTATTGACTTATTATTAACGTTTTTACTATTTACTCAAAAATACAATTATATTCAATCTAAAAATGGAAGATTTTGCCACTGAAAATAAGAAACCCAAAGGTACTCTGTCTCATTTAAGCATTTCGAAAGTCCATCTAATGTAACTAAAAAAATTAAAGGAAGATTATCAGATCTTTCAAGCAGTACAAATAATAAAAATTTAATATTATATCAAAATAATATCTCAATAGCTATAACAATATTGCTGCAAAGACATAAAATCTCTAAGTTTAAAGTCAAAGTCATAGAATCTCCAGTATCAAAGTCTGAGTCATAGAATTTTATCTCCAGGTCCAAAGTTTGAGTCATAGAATGTTATCTCTACTAGATATAACATTCTATGGCTCAGACTTTGGACCTAGAGATTCTCTAGGTTTAAAGTCTGAATGATATCTCCAGGTAAAACAAAGGCATGAATGATATCTCCAGGTAAAACAAAGGCATGAATGATATCTCCAGGTAAAACAAAGGCATAGATACTCAAAAATATCTTTACATAATAAGTGCTAGGATATATTTAAAAAAAACCTTTTAAATTTTATAGAAGGATAACACACTTCTTTTTTTGGCAACGTTCATAATAGAAATATTCAGTTAATATTTTTGTGTGAGAAGAAAAGAGACAAAGTGGTCCCCCAGAGTTACATTTTAGGCACTTAAGAGAACGTTTTAGTATTAGTCACAAGTTTACCATCACCTATTTTCATTCAAAACATTAGCTTTTTTATTAAGATTACAAAAATGATGTTAATAAAGTAGAGAAGTGTGGTTATTTGTATATTCGTAACATAAAACAAAAATCTATAATTACATACTGCAAAAATCTATAAATATATACTCATCGGGGGTAAAAAATTGCTAAAACTTGTGTGACATCGTTAAAGTATGTCTCCGTAATATAATATATTCAAGTCAAAGCAAAATACAAAAAACAATGTTGAAGGTTATTATTAATATACTAATACATTATTTGTAACTTTTATAGTAAGATATTATGAACCTTAAAAAAGAAAAAAAATTTTTTGGCAAATATTTGTTTTAGAAAACACATTGTAACAATTGTCGCAATGTGTTCACTAAAACAAACCACAAAGTTAAAACAAAGTAACACACATACTTTAAACAAAGTTTACAATACAACTTAGTATTGGGTTATGCACAAGGAGATTGAAATATTGGGTTATGCACAAGGAGTCACGAGTAGTTGGCTATCAATGGTAAGTTGAAATATTGTGTTTTACTTATAGATTTTATACAAAAGAAGCAATAAAACTTATAAAAAATAATTTAATAATGATGTGGTCAAAAAACCATAAAGGGCGTGCTTCAAAAGCAGAAAATGTAAAGTTGGAACCCACTATTTCACTAGAAGAACAGCCAGAACTTATTCGTGAAAAAAATTTAAGGTGGTATCACTCTACAAGAGGGTTTGGAAACTTAACTTTGAAAACTAACATATTAAATAAAATTTGAAATCTGTCCATGAATATAAATTTAGTTTAAAATAGTAATTGTAAACTCAGTAATTTTGGAGTTTATAATTACTATTTTAACCACATTTGGAGTTGGGGAGAGGGTAAAATGTTTAGAGGTTTAGTTGTTTACAGGTGTTCCATATCATCATAAGTTTTTGCAAAACACTCTCATTAGGTACATACCTAAAATATACTTAATTTTGAAGTTTGCTCCATGCCTAAGATCTCAAATAACAAAAAAAGAAATCTGAAATGAAATGAAAAAAAAAAAAGCTAAAATCAAAAAGAGCTACTGAAATCTCTAATAAAAGTATATACATAATGGAAAATATTTTGAATCACAAAAAACCTCTGATCATTTTTTTTTGTTCAGTTTGCAATCTAAAAGTAAACCAGAGATAATCTTATCTAAAAGTAAACCAAAGATAATCTTAACTAAAAGTAAACCAGAGATAATCTTATCTAAAAGGAAACCAGAGATAATCTTAACTAAAAGTAAACCAGAGATAATCTTATCTAAAAGTAAACCAGAGATAATCTTATCTAAAAGTAAACCAGAGATAATCTTATCTAAAAGTAAACCAGAGATAATCTTATCTAAAAGTAAACCAGAGATAATCTTATCTAAAAGTAAACCAGAGATAATCTTATCTAAAAGTAAACCAGAGATAATCTTATCTAAAAGTAAACCAGAGATAATCTTATCTAAAAGTAAACCAGAGATAATCTTAACTAAAAGTAAACCAGAGATAATCTTATCTAAAAGTAAACCAGAGATAATCTTATCTAAAAGTAAACCAGAGATAATCTTATCTAAAAGTAAACCAGAGATAATCTTATCTAAAAGTAAACCAGAGATAATCTTATCTAAAAGTAAACCAGAGATAATCTTATCTAAAAGTAAACCAGAGATAATCTTATCTAAAAGTAAACCAGAGATAATCTTATCTAAAAGTAAACCAGAGATAATCTGGGGTTCAGTTCATCTTTGGGCTATAGTCATCTTTGGAGTTATGAGCCTTGCAAAAGTGAAAACTATTTTACAATTGTGAAAACTTTAATGAAAATGATTAGTAATATATATTTATTCATAATATGCTATAATGAATTCAAAAGTTTTAAAAATTTGTTTTGTTTTTTCTTTTTTCCTTTACATTTACCGATTTGTTCTAAATATTATACTAACTTGGGCTCAAAAAAAAAAAAAAAAAAAAAAAGGAATGGGCAAAACAATTGTTGGAGTAAGTTAACAAGTTCACTAATTTTGCAAAACTTTTCTTTTTTTATATGATGCAAATGGTTCATATGGTATAAGTTAGCATTCTTTTTTTTTTTTCACAGAACTATTTTTATTAATAATTTATTATTTTTGGTTAATCAATTATTATTTTTGGTTAATCACTTATTATTTTTGGTTAGTAAATTATTATTTTTGGTAAAAAAATATTTTTTTTTATTTAATGAATTATTTTACACTGCAGTTGCATATTGAAAAAAAAAGACCCAGAAATGAGTAAAGTTAAAATTGTTCATTTGACAGATGGCTGTTAAGTTGAAATAAATTGAACATATTCAATTCAAACAGTGACTAGTAAAAACATGTAACACTAACACATGTCAATATTGACAGGTGGGTAATATTGACATGTATTTGGTTAAACATTTTGAATTTTCTTTTTACAGCCATGCGTCAAATGAACAAATATAGGTATACTCATTTGCATAACAATATATGTAACTAATAACACAATATAGCAGACAAATTTAAATCTATTCATAATTTTAATTATTTTTGAAAAACTCAAATTAAAAACTAAAACAATAGAAAATGTTTAAAAATTAAATATTAAAACAATAGTATAAAGTTGTTTAAAAATTAAATATTAAAACGATAGTATAAAATTGTTTGAGTGTATTTTTTGATGGTATTACTAAATGGTAAGTTTAAGGTAATATTGAATGTAATGTCAAATTAATTATCATTAAGTTGTCTTGCAAAAAATACATGGCAAAGATTATTTATTAAAAAAAACCTTTGTTAAATTTATGGAGAACAAAGGTGTCAAACAATTTATATGACCAGCAATTAGTCGTGATGGTTGGAACATCCTTCAAGTCCCAACTCAAGATATTTTTCGTGTGCTGGATAAAAGAACTTTTTTTTTTGAAGAAACGTAAATTAGATTAAGCCTTAATCTTTTTTATTATTAATAAAATTTTAAAATAAGACTTTTTTTTTGGTATAAATTCAAAAATGTTAATTGTATTTATAAATAAAAAACAGCAAACACAACATTTGTTTTTTAATTTCATGTGCTTTTGCTTTGCACTGTTTCACTCATACACCTTTTGTTCTTTGTCAATCTCCTTTTTTTCAAGACTGCACTCTTTTCAATGTTGTTTCAGATCAAATTGATCAAACCCTTTCTACTTATTCCTTAGCTAATATTATTGTTATTTTTGACTTTAATGCTCAACACTCACTCTAGCTTCATTCTACTCAGATTAGTAAACCTTCTATTTTATCTCAGGTCCTAGAGACTTTTGAAAATTTTTTAACTATGTCATTATTAAGGATAAGTCTAACATTTCATCTATCACAAATGTATTTATTCATATTACCTTTCCCATGATTAAAGCAGAACTATTTGCAAATAACTTTTCCTGTAACTTGTCACTTAAATCTAATAATGTGATTCTTCTTGTCATCCTAAAGAAACAATTCGATCCACTATTTTATAAACTACTACTTTTTCTCTTGTACAAGTTATTTTGCAGTTAAACTATTTTATTGTTTGTGGTCCAGATATACCTGTCACAGTCTTATACAAATGTTTACCAGAACTCTCTTCATTATTCTTTAAACTATTTATGAAGTACTTAACTGAATATTTTTTTCTTTCCAGCTGGTAAATGGAATCTGCAGTTCTTTCTTACTATAAGCAAGATCTTTGAATTTTTAATCATAAACTTTCAATATCTTATCTTTAGTCTTCAATTAACTCTCTGACTATCAATCAATACGAATTTCAATTCTCTTGTTCCAATATTGACTTGCTAACCATTACAACAGAAAAATACAATAACTATATATATAATAATTATAACAGAATGGTTTTATTTTGGATAAGATGGAAGCGGAAAGATGAAGGCTATTACACTTGATATATCAAAGGTTTTCAATAAAGTCTGGCATACTAATTTTCTCTAACAGCTTGCTTAATATTACATATCTGTAAAAGTTTTTCAAATTATTGAACCATTCACTTCCAAGTGCATTATTTAATATTTCTTAGATCAATTTCTTAGATCAATACTTATGATCAAACTAAATATCTTCCCTCTAAACTGGTACTATTTGCTGATGTAACTAAATATTTTTGTCTTGAAAACAAAATAATCACTTTTTGATTTCTTAGAACAGGTAGCTCTTGAATCTGATATCTCTTCTATGATAATTTAACAACACAAACAAAACTTAGTTGTTGACTTCTAACATTTATTGCAACAACATTACTTGAAAATTCCATCAAAAAGTTAGAAGAAATCTGCTGAGGTTGCCTCTCTTTAAAGGTGCCTCTCTTTAAGGTTGCCTCTCTTTAAGGTTGTCTCTATTGTGCTCATCATAT